TTTTGCTGTAGAGGTGGTTGGTTCGAGGCCTTCAATCCTCGGCGTCGGACTCGCAAGGTCCGCGCGGAAGTTTCCGAGAGGGCGAAGCGGCGGGAGGACTCACCGACGTCCGAATTCGAAAGTGCGCGGGTATCGCCCCCGCATTACGGGAGAGCTCGGGGAAACGTGTCGCTCCCTCGTAACCCAGGACCAAGCGTCGCCAAGAACACGAGTCCCCCTGGCGACACCAGCGACAATCAAACTGCGGCCGACCAGGGCAACACAGTCAAACCCGTATAAGGCAATATTAGAGTCGGGGAATCAAAGCGATCAATCAAGACAAACCCGTTCCCCCTTATATTACACGCCCGAGGCGGGTCTCGCCAATGCACTTGCTCCGTCCGCCTCAACGCGCGCCGTACGTCCGCATCGCAGCAGATGCTGTCGTCATCTGCAATGGGGAAGGTCGGTAGCGAGATGAGACGATCGAAGGTGCGCGATGAACACGGGCAAGATCCCGCGTTCCCGGTCATCCGAACCAATACCGACTCCATACTACACTCGATGCAACCCTTCTCTCTCAAAGTTGGTGCGTCGGGAGAAGATGGGGAAATCTAAGTTGTCTTCCCCTGGCGGGGGCATCGACCGCGAGCGCGCGGACGGCGGCGGTTGACGTCACCGGTGCAGGGACGAGAAGTTCAAAAAGCGATGATTACCGTGATCAGTTCAAAAAGAAAGGCGAGAGAGAGAGACAGAGAGTGAGTTACACCGAGACTGCGCGTGCATCCAGGAAGGGCTGCGGAAGGGAGGGGAACAACAGGATCAACACACTCATACTCCTAAGCAGACGGTCCTCCTGTTCAGTTCCCCCGTCCCCGCCCAGATAGGTACGTACACACATACATGCATGCAATCAACAACCCTTGACAGGACACCCAATCATCCATAGACCTTCGACATCACTCATGCGCACAACTAGCTCCCATCACTCGGAGCCTCACACACACGTCATGCATAGACAAAGCAGCAATGGAGATAAAAGCGAGTCCGTCTCGTATACAAAAATTCTCAATTAACTGCCGCCCCCAGGCGCAGCCTTCAAAACTTCCCAAGACCACCGACCACCATAGCCACAAGGCCCTGCTGCGGCCGGCGTCCAATCCCCACCACTGCTCAGTCCCACCAACTGCTTCGCCCCGAGACTACCATGAAATCCACCTCGCGTCATCACTCCGCCCGTCCTTGGGCTCGTCGAGCTTGTTCGGCACCGCAAATTTCGCGCATAGCTCGCGCAGCATTGCAGCCGAGATCAAAGAGAAGGAGAGGAGAGGGTTGCGCGAATTTATAGCGCCGGAGGCGGCGGGTTGTCAGCGTGAGGTGCGGGCAGCGCAGAGTGTAGATGGGCAGGGTAGAAGAAAGGTGGGGAGTCAGAGGGTTCGACCAGCGGGGTTGCATGGTCCTACGTGATTGGGGTGTTCGTTCAAGTGGTGCACGACTTCCCGATCTCCACATTGATCCGAGCATCCCAACTACGCAGCAAATCACTTCGCGGAGGAAGCCGGGGTAAGGATCAAGCTGGGCGTAGGGGAAGACGAAGAGTCCGGCTGGAGGGAAACGCGCGCAGCAAGAAAGGAAGATGGCGCGGGGATGCAAAGCAAGAAACGGGGGTGCGAGACGCGCGAAGAAATCGGAGCTTAGTCGTGCGCGCGCAAAAATTCAAAAAGTCCCAACCGAAACTGTTTCTTGGTTTTCATACCGCGACAGCTATTTGCCCGCGCGGGAGTTATTTAGCCAAAAAAAAAATGAAAAAGCCGTTTCAGAAAGGAAGGCAAAAGCAAAAAGAAAGAAAACCCCCTTTTTGTTCGCATCCG